TGTAGAGGCTAGGGATGGTGGTCTGGATTGTGGGGGTTGCTGGGGTTCCATCTTTGGACCAGCAGGTGATGGAGGGATGGTTAGAGTAGGTGAAATCTGCAGATGTGTGAAGAGTCGATCCAGTTTGGAGGAGATATCGTCCAACATTTTAGAATGGTTTGACAATTGAACCTCAAGGCTGGTGATCCTCGCATCCCAATTAGTAAAGTCAACCCGGTGAATATCGTTCTGCAAAAAAGACGAATTCTGCCATGTTCTTGCTGTACTGACTAGAAGATCCACTTACTTCGATCTTCTCTATGTCTGCCACCAATTCTCTTCTTTTAACCTCCTCTTGGTTGGCCTCCTTGCGCTTCAGCTCTTCCTTCAGAACCTCAACTATTACTACCTGTTTCCGGAGTTTTCCTCCTCAGCAAGCAGTTTAGCATCTACAAGGGAGAGAGGAAGTTGAGGCTTCTCCTCATAAGCTTCTCCCTTTTCAGTGCCATACATTTTAAAATTCCCACAAAGCAAACAAAATAAAATAAGAATAAAATAAGAGACAGAATGAAAGTCAATAGTAATTGGGTTTTCCCTCTAGTACTTCTCCAATTGTTGTCACCTGACTGAGGAAAGAAGTTGGTTAGCATGAGCAGGTAAGTGCTCAGTTTCTGCAGACCGCTTGAGGGTCAGCGGTCAGATTACAGTCAACTCAAAAAAAATAAATTTCACGATTTTCCATAGCCTGACACATCAATTGAATGCAGTCTTGGCCTGATTAGTAATAGGCCATAATTGAACAAAGTGATTGTTACTGGTTGACATGTGATTACAGATGACCAAGATGTAGCAATTTATTGTGTGCTATTTTTAGACTTACCCTACTGACTTCACCACTGGATGACCCTGTATGTCATACACAGGGTATGACGAATTACAGAATTCACTATAACTAACTCAGAACATCAAATGTGAAAGTGCGATTTCAAACAGGCTAAATATCGAGTTGTGATTTACCACGGACTGGCAAAACTGAATTCCGACGGACAAAATCAATTATGGTCAACCCTAGACTGACCAAGCTCCAGTTATGGCAGCGAAGAATTCCAATTTTTATTATCCCTGACAGTATGACCCTGAACCATCCAATTCCCTGTATAATATGAATCGCAACACTGTAAAGCAGTCGCAAATGAAAATCGAGTCGGAGAGAGGGTCGAAGGTTAGTAGCAGTCAAAGAAGGTAGGCAAAAGAGATTGGCTAAGGTTGTCTCCCAGTCAAGATTTCGATTTTATACTGTCTACTGACTGACAAGCCAATTTTCGCTAATCTAAAAATAGCCCTAGAATCACCACGCAGAGTAGAGTAAGGAACACACTTACTTCAGGAACTTCTCTGAAGGGGATAAATGAAACCCTAGCAATGGTTGTCTTCTGAGACCCATCTCGCCAATTTCTTCTCCTGGCAGTTTCCCGTGTTCCCACGTACAAAATCCCCTAAAACTTGGTCGTCCTATAGATCTCCCTCTTGCGCTTCACCCCCACTGACAAATTCAATGAATCTGGACTCCCAGGTGCCGATTACTAAACAAAACCCTAGCAATGACTGTCTTCTGAGTTCCATCTCGCCAATCTCTTGTCCTGACAGTTCCCAGTGTTCCCATGTACAAAATCCCCTAAAACTTGGGGGTCCTATAGATCTCCCTGTTGCGCTTCACCCCTCACTTCCCAGGTGCCAATTACTGAGCAACTAAGTGCAACATTACTCCAACAAGCCATGCGCTGCTTGGGAATCGGGGATCTTGACCCAATCCCAAAATTGCAACTCCCTGGGGGTCACCTCCTTGCACATCGGCAGTCTCCGATGAATCACCAGGCTCAAAATAGCCTCCTAAGAGCCTCCTTGGCCCTCTGAGCACCAATCGAACTCACTCCTATACAACCCTGGGCAGGAGTGAATCATTCTCTGTCCAACACCTCTCGCCACACACTTACCACCACCACCCTCACTTTCGCCAATACAGAAGATGACAAATCGCCATGAAGTCCAACTCCAGTGTCTCGCCAGATGATGGTAGTTGCTCCAACTCATCAACTGCTCCATTGACTGGATCCAATCGTTTCGATACCAATTGTTATGAACCTCGTTGTTTATTGTCTGAAGACCAACATTCACTCACATAAACTTCTAGGTATGCCCATACATACACAAAAGGAATGAAGACCAACATTCACTCACATAAACTTCCAGGTATGCCCATACATACACAGAAGGAAGGGAAGACAATGAGAGTATCACATAGGGAGATAGAAATACAGTGGAAGACTTGACCATGCGATATGACAGAGTACACTGAAAGTGCAATTCACTCCAAAGAATCCTCACAAGCATTCACAAAGGGAAAACAGAGTAAATCACATCCAAGAAACAATGCAGCAAGGACAGTTCACCCATATTATGTTTCTTAAAATCAGAGTCTCAATTTGTTAGAACAACCCCAAAATTATAATGCGCTGCTCTCCTTCCCCCAACCCTGAATCCTAGATAATCGCTATCATTACCCCTGAGTCCCTGAAACAACCAACGTCACCCAGATATTGCCTCTGGACGGAAGCGCCACCCTTAAATAAGCCTCTGGCGCCAAGCGCCTCTCACAGGATGAAGAAAAAGACCAACGCCACACTCTATGATGATGATGAAGTGTCATAAAACCTCCCGGATGGAAATCTGCAGCATCATCACCTTTCTTGACAAAGACGATTTCTGAGGATAAAAGTTGCAGCTATGTCTGCAACGCCACACACCCTGACACCCTACTCCTGAGGAGGGTTCAACAGGGTACCAACTTCTCTTACCACCAACAAACTTCAGATAGCCTGGACCTCTAAACAGCCCTGCTTGTTGTCAAAGAACAACGCAGGTCCCAACTATGGTCAACGCTTCGAAGGTCCGACGATATCTATCTCCTCCAACGCTGAACCTGTACCACCACCACTTCATGCGTTGCGCAGCTGTGATGTACACGGTACCAACTGCCAAAAGCCCCGAACAGTTTTTTCCTAGACCTATTCATAGTCTGCCCTAGCCTAGACACGAACTAGACCGAACTGACTGGACTGACCGGTACCGTTTCTGTTCGGCCTCTCCGGCCTCTCCCTTCTTGACTATAGGCTATATGATCGTCTAGCGGCATAGGCCCGTAGGCCCTTCTGACCTCGTGGTAGCCCGGGTCTACTATTCGCGTTTAGGGTAGTTGTAGAAAACTCTGGTTCGCGCGAGCCTGAAATTCTACGAATTTATAGATATGTCAACGGGTCACGGGATGCAGAATCAGCAAGGCATTGCATGGACACTTACGTTGAGTTGCAAAGGTCCAAAGGGCTAAAGCTTTTTTTTTACCCTTGGTTGTTTCAGACATTCCTAAAACCTTGCATTAAATTTTTACAAGTACAAAGTGGGTGTCATTAACAAACATTGCTTTCTATGATAGTAGTGAGGTGGACACTTATTCTTGTGATGCCCTCTTGTAGGGTGCAAGTAGAATATAAGTGACAAAAGACAAGGTTTATCTCTAGCATGCATGTGAACCATATGAACATCTTTATAGGTTCACAACCCTTGTGAAACTTCACCTGAAAAATTGAGAGAAAATTTCATGCATAATTTTCATCAAAAACAACACATTCAGTTTATTTTTTGTTGAAAAATAAACTTCCAAATTAATTTCAAGCAAACCAAATAAATTCAATTTATAATTTTCTCAAAAATGAACTTTCAGTTTAATGTTTTTGTCCATTAGTGACATTTCAATTCACTTTTTCTTTCATACATCATATACCAGTTTAACTATCCAACCATAAATAACTTTCAGTTGAATTCCGATTATCCTTTCCAGCCATGTTAAACTGAAAGATAAGATTTTAGACAATGCATAATATTTCAATTTATATTAAACTGAAATTTTATATTGAATTTTTCAAGATTGTTCCCAAACTTTCAGGCAAAGAATACTTTTCAATTTATTTTGAGAAAACAATGTTCACCATAAACTACGAACATTTTGATAAACTGAAAGTTTTGGAATTAGCTTGAAAATTTGTGCGTTGGCGTTCTCCTGAACTGAATTTTATAGCTCGGATTTTTCAGTTGGTTTGAGTGTGTATAAGAGAGAGAGAGAAACGGGAAAAATGGCATTGAAGTATTATTTCGTAAAATCGAATTGCTTCGTTCCCTTCTTCGGTACAGCTCTATTGGGCCAATCTTTTTAAAGACTTGTTTTGGCTCGAGGATGGAGTTAATGCCTTGGATTGTTTGACTGATGGGGAGCACTCGATCTGTAGGGAAAGGAGCCGATCATTGAGACCTTGGGGCAAGAAACAAGAAGCGATCAATGGTAGAATGGAATGCCAGCTCAAGGTGAAAAACATGAAACGGGTGATGATGCCATCTCTCTCTAGGGGCGTCACCAGTTGTCAGCATTCACACAACAAATCGTCTTTTGAAATACACAGTGATAAAGGGGCTGTATCATCGCAAATCTCTCTTTCTCTCTCTCTCTCTCTCTCTCTCTCTCTCTCTCTCTCTCTCTCTCTCTCTCTCTCTCTCTCTCTCTCTCTCAATGTGTGTGTGTGTGTGTGCCCCCCCCCGATGCTCCCCGTCACGCTGGTGAGGCATGTCAGGAAATACACAGTGATAAAAGGGTTGCAGCATCGCAAATCTGTATGTGTGTGTGTGTGTGTGTGTGTGTGTGTGTGTGTGTGTGTGTGTGTGT